GGAAAGTTGGTAGAGTGAATTGGACATTACTATCCTATGTGCATATATGATTAAATGACTAATGTAATTCTACATCATGAAAAACCAGAAGAATGAGAAGTCAAACTCCATATATGTATAATATGTCAAAATATATTCTACTATATAACTAATTAGAACAAATTTTTAAAAAAAGAAAGGAAAAGAAAATTGACAGAGCATAGTGTCAAGAGCCCAATTTCTGGTGGTCAGAAAGTCTTCCCAGTTGAATCCAAATTCTGCATATTAATTACTGGCCATGAGTCCTATGTAAATCATTTAACTTTCCCTCAGCCTCACTGCCCCCATAATTAGTATGATAATATGAATAGTACCTATTTCTCTTGGAGTTGTTCTGCTAATTAAATAAAATTATGTATGAAAGGGCTTAATCCCATGCCTACCTAGCACATATCAAGTGTTCAATTAATACTAGTTATGTATGGCTGCTTGTAGAAAAATATGCCCAAATACACTAACACATTCAAATGCAAATATTTTGCTAATCATAATTATTCTTAACATTGCTGTCATAAATTGGACATTATCAAAGGGATCAACCTTCCCTTTAAGATTCTCCTCAACTCCATTAAAATGTTTCAGTTTCTATTTACTTTTCTACAAGGAAGCTATTTTGACTTCTTTACGAAATAAATGTCTTTTGATTAACTTTGTCTTACTTACCTCGGAAATATCTCCAGCAAAATCTCCATAAAACGTATCAATGGGAGAGTCAGATGCTTTGGGGTTGATCAGAAGGGCATCAAATTCTTTACCCACTTCAAAGTTTCCAATCTCACTCTCCAGACCCAGGGCTGCAGAAGAAAACAAGTTTAAACCCAGTCAGTACTGCAAGCCATCAGACCATGCTAATGTCTCGGTTTGCAGGGATAGAATCTGCCAAAATATCACTAGGAAAAAAATGAATAATCAATAGTGAGGCAGAAAAGTGCTCTCATTCCAATAGGACCCAAGACTTCCACTTACAAGAAGCAGAGTAAGTATAAGAAAGCAAAATGTGAAAATAAAAATGGTTCCCCCCAATCACTATGATCATAATTCTGAAGTTGTCATTCGATTTCAGCTCTATCAGTGCCAGCTGGCCTGTGCTTTTTATTTATGGCTCTAAGAATAGACACGATACCTATGTATACCTAAGAATTGGCATAATACTGATCTTCTTCCCTTCTCTTTTCCCCACAAAGTTCCAATTCCTTTCCTTGTCTTTTTTTGTTCTTTATGTTCCATGAAACAGCTAACAAGATCTATTATTATGGCAGTGAAATGAACCTCTAATAAATAAAAAATAATTATTCTTTTGTATATTTGCCAATGCAGGCCTCTCTACCGTAACTTCATGCCTTTGAATAGAAAACAGCTCACTTCTCAAAGTGAACAGATCCTCATAACTCAAGAGACACAATGATTTGAAAACAGACCAATCTCTTGTAACCTCAAAGCTTTTCTGGTTGCCCAAGAAGAATGATTTTCTAAAATAAGGCATAGGTCAATAGATGTTATTGACTCTGCTCATCTCAAGCTATAATTCATGTACTAGGATTATTAAGTGCCAAGGAAGAACATCTCTCATTTCTATGACTTAGTTTCAGAAGATGGAGGTAGTTGGATTTCATGATCAGTGAACATGTTGACTCTAAATCTCCTTAATGCCTATAACATGAGCAAAGATATACACTGAGGTAGCAAATGGCACATACATACAAGGAAGGTTAACTGGGGTTCAGCATTGTCTACTTCAATTTTTACATGTGTTTTTAGCATTTTGTCACTGGCATCCTGTAATCTGCTGTGGAAATAGTGGATAGATCTTCCCTGCTAGGCAAAATCTGATATATTTTTGTGCACAAAAATCCAGAACACTTGGCAATTCCCAAAGCACTGACTTATAAATCTTACTTGTTTTTAAAAGATTAAAGAACAACTTTTCTCAAAGAAAAGAATTCTTTAGATTTCACATTAAGAGAGGAGTGTGAAAATAATTAGAAATATTAAAAGCAATTGGTGACTTCTATTAATTGTCAGGGGAAGGTCTGAATATGATAGAAAATCAGTGAAATTTTTTTCCTCCTTCACTGTTTATACACCATCCTTTTTGCCGTTGGCAAAGAAGCATAACAAGTATGAGTTTTCAATGGCTGTATGCAATATAAATTTGTTGTGTGTTTAATAGGCCAGAAAACCAGTTACAGTTGCCAGTGTCCCTACAAGTTTGTTAAAGTAACTGGGCTAGTCATTAGAACACAAAGAGTTCAGGGAGGAATTAACCCAAAAAGACAGAATTGCTTCTGATGAATTTATAAACAGTACATTCAGATTGTTGCATTTGGACCGAGCTGGGCTGGTGAGCAATTCAAATGCATTTCAGGAAATGCAATTTTGCTGTCTTTG